TTGTTGTGCCCCACCCAGAGCTCCATCTGGATGGGGGCAGGCTCTAAATGCCAATAAATGAATGAATGAATGAATGAATGAATGAATGAATGAATGAATGAATGAATGGATGAATGGATGGATGAATGAATAAATCCCTCCTCTCTTATTGCATGGAACTTATTGCATAATTATTATGACAATTTTCTCGGCTGCTGTGTATATTTATTTTCGTATTGTTTTTAATTGTTTTTATTGCTTTAGAATTGTTCGCCGCCCAGAGTCACTTGGTTGAGATGAGCGGCTATAGCAATTAAATAAATAAATAAACTCCTGCTCACTCTAAGTAGTTCCTGTTTCGTGACAAGATGAGATTGAACATGCATACAGATTGGGCTGTTTTGGTGACTCATCCCTTTGATCATCGACTGAAAGTGAGCAAACGCTTCACTTGTTTCTATCATTAGTTTTTTCCCCTTCCAAAGATTAATGGACTCTCCCTTGGGAAGACACCAAGAGATCCAAATAAAGATCTGTCTTACTTCAGTCCAAAATATCACATCGGCTATTAAATTTCTCTACTCTGAGACAGACGGCAGAAGAAAAGGGAAAGAGGATTATTATTATAAATAGCTTTATTTTGAATGACTAAGACTCCAACAGGAAAATTCTAAACGCGTTCTCCCAAAGGGTTCCCCCCCCCCACACGTTTATTTGATGATGCAAAGGGAAAGCCCAATAAAAGCTCCACTTTAAACTGTAAAGCTTGGCAGGAAAAGCCCTGTTATTTATGATAAATAAAGCACTGGGTCTGGTTAGCCACACATCCCCATCTTTTCAGCTAGCCTTTGCAGTTGCAGCAAAGAACACAAATCTTTGATGAAGATCCTTGCAGGTAGCGAGGGTTGCCTCCTTTGTTCCTTTCAAACGCTTCACCAGTGTACTTCTGCCTGGGGTCCAGCAAGCATGTCCTCGCAAAAGTCCATTCAGGCGCTTTCCATTCACAGTTGAGAAGCCAAGCTGAGTCTGGGGGTTCCACCTTGGAGCCCTACTAACGTGCCTAAAGGAGCAGAAGCCCCTTCCCTTCGTCCAATGTGCCACCAGATCCAGTAAGGTTTCAACAAAACAGGGGAAGGGGGGGCAAGGACAGCTGTCAATCATCCATCTGCCTTTCACCCTCCCCTCTGGAACATCACCCCCCCAGGTGAGGTTAGCCCCAGCCTTTATGGCCTTCCAGAAAGCCCTCAAAACGTGGCTTTTCCAGCAAGCCTGGGGCTCCCCTGATCACAGGGAGCCTGTCCGTCGCTTGCATTGGTAACATCTCTCCTCTCGTGGCCTTCTTTCTTTATCTGTACTGTTTTTAATGGGTTTGTAAAACGTTTTAATTCCTGGCTCTCTTGCACCCCGCCCAGAGTCAGTCCGTGTGAGTAAACAAATAAAATAAAGGCACCCCAGTTTGCAGAGGTTTGACTGCATCCCCGCCATGCTTCGCATCCGCCTGTTTCTGCAGAGCCCCAATCAAGTTTAAGGCACGGGAACAAAGGGGGCTTTCACTTCTGGAGGCTCCCTCCTCCCCACTTCCCCCCTTTCCCCAGTTCAGCGGCTGCGCTCCCTCCCCTTCTCTTCCCTTCCCCGCCTACCTCACCCACCCTCCCG